AACTTGCCAGCGGGTGCTCAGCACAGGTAGGCTACTAAGAATGCAGCTCCTACAAATAAATATAAATCCAGTGGGGCGAGGGTAACGGGAGAGAACCTGCAAAGACCAGAAGGCAACTCCATTCCAGCTGCCCTCAGGCAGACTTCGCTTGTGTCGGACAACGTGAGGAACAGCGGCATCAACAGCCGTTCAGTTACAAAGTTGTCTTGAAACAGTTTGAAGCCGGTCAATCATTTTCAACCCCTTGAAACCAGGGAACCCCGTTCAGTTACAAAGTTGTCTTGAAACAGTTTGAAGCCGGTCAATCATTTTCAACCCCTTGAAACCAGGGAACCATGTTTGAAAACCAAAAGGTTGAGGTTCAAGTGTCTTCAGAGCTGGAAAGACAACTGTCCACTCGGGTACCAAAGTGAAAATTAAAACGCTTATATCATTTTTTTGTGTGGTGCTTTGAGCTGCTGTGACTGTAAAGCAATCAAATAACCGTAGTATCACTTTCAGACAATACTGCTCCATAATGAATTCAAGTAAAGGCTGAAAACATAGAAAACCAGCCCAGAATGCACAAATGCAGCCTTTATTTCCCCAGCATAACGGGAAGAATTCGGAGAGGTTGCACCCGTGCCATTTCACTTGTAGCTGTCAAAGACAAAGCCTGAAAAGTAGGTCTTGGAAAAGTTTGTTTTACCTCCTTTTATGAGCTCCAACAGGCAGAGAAAGCATTTATTCTTGCCTTGCACAAAGCCATGGAGTGAATTAGAATTAGTCTAAGGACATTAGGCTTGGGCCGCTGGTAGCACTTGCTAACAGGGAGCCTCGCCATCATCGCTTCGCTGCAAATGGCCGCTGAAAGCATTACAGTATTCCCTGATAAGAGGAATACCAACAGATAAGAAAACTACCTTGGAAAGTATTTTCACAGAATTGCTTTTTACTAAGACTCACATCAGCAAAATAGCACGTATTTTCATCTCTAAGCGATAAAATGGAGAGATGTGATTTTGTCTCTCTCTCTTTAAAGTTACTAAAGTTCAGTAAAAAAAGGTTTTGTAACGGCGTTCAGAATTAAGTTATTTATCTTGATATGAACTGTTGTGTCACCCCTAAAATGAAGCACAGCTTCCCCAGACTGCTTACTTCCGATACTTTTTCACAACTTAGCGACCTTAAATTAAGACACAAGTAAGTGAACAGTTCTCAACGTGCTTAAAACTGAGGTGACAGACAAGACATTTCAGTGACAGATTTATCAAATAAGAGAAAATACTGACACATTAAATTCTTTTGGCAGCTTTTTTGGCTGAAGGAGCTACACCCAGCACAACGGCAGCAGAGGAGAACTTGTCCATATTCGAGTGTCAGCTTCACGCTCCACGAGCCCGGCCGAATACCAAAGCCGGTGCAGGAGGCGCGTTGAGGCGGGAGGAGTGGGTGTGCGTGAGCCGCCTGTGTCTCAACAGGGCCGAGCGCGGGCTCCGGCAGCTGGGTCAGGGCAACCCCCAGCATCAGTGCGGGCGGGGGGATGGACGCCTTGAGAGCAGCCCCGTGGAAAAGGACTTGGGGGTACTGATAGACAAAAAGCTGGACGTGAGCCAGCAATGTGCTCTCGCAGCCCAGAAAGCCAACCGTACCCTGGGCTGCATCCCCAGCAGCGTGGCCAGCAGGGCGAGGGAGGGGATCCTGCCCCTCTGCTCTGCTCTGGTGAGACCCCACCTGGAGCCCTGCGTCCAGCTCTGGGGTCCTCAGCACGGGAAGGACATGGAGCTGTTGGAGCGGGGCCAGAGGAGGCCACAGAAATGATCGGAGGGATGGAGCACCTCTGCTGTGAGGAAAGGCTGAGAGAGCTGGGGTTGTTCAGCCTGGGGAAGAGGAGGCTGCGGGGAGACCTCATTGCGGCCTTTCAGTACTTAAAGGGGGCCTGCAAGAAAGATGGGGACAGACTTTTTATCAGGGCCTGTAGCAACAGGACAAGGGGTGATGGTTTTAAACTAAAAGAGGGTAGATTTAGACTAGATAGAAGGAAGAAATTTTTCACGATGAGGGTGGTGAAACACTGGCACAGGTTGCCCAGAGAGGTGGTAGATGCCCCATCCTTGAAAACGTTCAAGGACAAAACACTGGAACAGGTTGCCCAGAGAGGTGGTAGATGCCCCATCCTTTGAAACATTCAAGGACAGGCTGGATGGGGCTCTGAGCAACCTGATCTAGTTGAAGATGTCCCTGCCCATGGCAGGGGGGTTGGACCAGATGGCCTTTAAAGGTCCCTTCCAGCCCAAAGCATTCTGTGATTTTAAGAATTAACTCAAGCAAATGTCTTTATACTAGATTGTTATTTTGTGATCACAGATGAACTCAGGCAAGAAGCCCTCTACCTGTTTCTTTTCAAAGAGAGGAACCCCTTTGGCTTCGCAGCTAAGGCCGTTACACAGCTAAGGTCTTTAAAAAAGAGAGTGGTTTTACGTAACCTTAAGTTTAGCATGAACTGGAGTGAAATATGGGAACGACCCGAATGTCAAAGGACAACTACAACTGAAACTGTCACTGCCAATACCAAACCTGCTGCTTCGCTAGTGAAGGAGTGAACGCCCAGATACAGCATTAGGGCTGACCGAGGCCCTTACATCTCTGTCAGCTGGTCCGCAGCACTAATTACAAGGCTTTTCTTTCCTTTTCATCCCATTAATCTTTCAGATATTACAGTGAGATTCAACCTTTTAGCACGCTGACAATGCTGCAAAACGTAACTAATAAAATCTAGGTAATTGTCTCAAAGTGAGAACAATCTGCCAACTCAGACCAACTCGGCATTTCCGAAGTGGAACATGGATTCCCACGCTATTTGTTTGAAATGAAATCTCCATGGGCTGTAGGAAACGCACACTCATCGTTTCAAAATATAACACAAGAGAGAGAGCATCCAGCAGTATTGCAAAAACATTGAGGTGTAGTCAGGTAAAATGAGGGAAGCCCAGAATAACCTTTTACATTTGTTTGAATTTTTAAAAGTCTTTCTTTAAAAAAAAAAGTTAAGCTCTAAAATGTTACCTGCCGTTTTAATTCCTGTTCTTGAATACCCAACTATGTCTTTTTTATATATATGGCTGTACCAAACCGTCTCACTTATTCTGTGTGTGCTAATAGCAATAATTTCTGCCAAGAAATTTGAGTCGGCCATACAACACATCTATTTTTGTGAATTTTTTAAAGACTCTTTTTATGTCCACTGAAAAATTTCTTTTTTAGGAATCTATGACGTTAACAAAGTGAGATTCGCTATCTTAAAGTGACAAAATAGATGGATTATCCTGATAATTGTTCTGTTCCCGCTGTTTGATTGCAAAGTATGCAAACAGTCCTCTCGTAAAAAGTACATCCAGAGCAATCCAAATAAAAAATAAATCATAATGAAAACCTGAAGTGAAGTTCACTGTAGCAATGCTTTATTTCTGTCATTGCAGTAACTCTTTATTTATATGCCGTTAAAACCTTCCTGGAATAAAAAAGCTGCACAGTTGCATCTGAGCACCTTTCAGTATTTCTCTATCAGAGCTCATACGAATTTAAGCTAAAAATTTCCAAGTAGTCTAAACAAGGTGACTAGATCATCGTCACCTGGTGTCAATGAGATCTTTTGAATACTGCATCGATACTACTTATTTTGGCGTGGAGCTGTAAGCCCTCTATTTCACATCTTGAACTGGCCACCATCTTAGGTTCAAACGAAGGAAGAAGAATATCCATAAGACAGATGGTCAAATGTACACTGCTAATCCATGCCTAAAACTTAGTGTAATAGCCCTTGGTTTACAGTCTAAAGACAGGACAGATTAATAACATTTTTTCTGTAACTACCATGAACACACCTAGTGGTTTACATAACAGGAATCTGTTCTACTGGTCCATTATCTAGAGTTTTGGCATCTTATTTTACTTAAATTCCCTAATGAGTGAAGGTAAGTGTGGTCCCTCGCGTTTACCGTGTGTCTCAGAGCAGCACGTGTCTGGACAGCTTCTGCAGAGCTGATGTCACAGCAACCTGTACAAAGCAAATGTTATGTACCTACACTTAGAAGAAATCAACTGTGCCCAGAAGAGCCAGCTTCTCTCCATTCAGAACAAAGGGTCCCCAAATGACAAGGTCAGGTGTAGATGTTGACAAGGTGACATTTGACGTTAGAGGAGATGAATTCTGCCCAGAAATCCCACATATCTGCGTAAGTTACCTAACCTTAAATATTACACGGTATAGATTTCATGTTCTCCCTGCAGTTTTGTACTCCCTGATCCCACCATATGTAAATCCACAACCTTTTTTTTCCCCCTCCATAACAAGGCATATGTTACCAAGACAATTAATACTTCCTCCTCAAGTAATCGACACTCGCACCTGACAGAAATACTTTGGGGATACCTTACCTATTGCTCAGAAAGACATTTTTGTTCTGACTGTTTCTATTACAATAACTAGTTTTTAAATCTGCAGCTTAGCACTGGTCCTTGCTACGTGATTGTTCGGCGTCCTTCACTGAATTCTCTGCTTGTTATTCTTGCTGTTCTCCAAGGGAACTTTAGCCTTTTGGCCTTCCTTTGGCCCTTTGTAGTCTCATAACCTTTAGCTATACCACGAGACTGTGGCTGACATTAGCCAGCGTCAACAAGGTTATATTGTTTTGAATAAAGATTGATGCCTCTACTTCTAATGGACTTTGCACACGGGTAAAACAAATATATGATGCCCGTTTGCCAGCTTTTTATCTTTTTGATGTCAAAATATTTGTAACTAGGAAAATGAGGGATAATAAGATTTTCAGTTATAGCAGGAAAAAAATGAAATTCCTATGTCTATAGTTCCAGGCTTCTCCACGTTTCCTATATTCCCCCTTCTATCCAAGAATGACATAGATGCTTAAGGTAAGTCAGATTACACAAATCTCATTTACTTACAGATTCTAACAAACAGACAGATTTATAACAAATACAAACAAATTAGAATATCAAAACTAATACACATAAACTTTCACTTTGTGGACTTCTTTGTCTTCGCATTCTCTTTGTTTATCGTAATAATAGAATGTATTATCCCTCCTCTGAAGTTTCTTAACAAATCCAGTTTCTGGCCAACACTCTACCTATGGATAGAATAAAAAGGATATACATTCACCTGAACGTGCTCACGTTGAATGATGTTTATGAATGAGACTGGAAAGAATATAGGGTATCCTTCCATGGGAAAACCTCATTTGCATCTGAACACTACTTTGCTACTAATTTGCAGAGCGTTTAAAAAAAGATTAAGAGCAAGATGTCAGAAACGAGTTTTCTGGTCTAGTATAAAGAATTCTGTGATCAGAAAAGTCTAGAAATAAGGATCCAAGAATATTTGAAAGACAAGAGTCATTTAAAAAGTGGACTAGTCAAAGCTTTTAAAATACATTGTTTAGGAAAAAACCCATTAATTCTGTTCAGTACTCTGAGGCTAAAAGATTCCACTTCTGTAAGACTGACACACACTTTCTTCAGGATCCTTCTGACCATGAAAAATGTGTACATCGTTCTTTTCATTAGCAATTTCATAAAAATAAAGTGAGCTACATGTATCATACTCTCAAATACAGCAGGATCAGTCCTGCAGGAAACCAGCACCATCCTGGTGCTCTTCAGTGTTCCACAATGTGAAGCTTTAGACAAAAGGTTTGAGCACTTGTACGTTGAACAGCTTTATGGCTTTAGTAGCTACCTGCAGCTTGAACACCTGTGACTGCTTGTGATCAAATTGAACCTTAAAAATCAGGTAATAAGAATCTTATTTCTCGTCCAGGCAGGGTTGACAATAGGACGTCAAACTACAGCATCTTCTAACTGGAGAGTGCCAGAAGTGGTAGTTTCATCACTTACCTTATTACTTTAGATGTAGAGCTGAGTTATTTGCATTCTCTGTTTAAACATAAGAGCCTTAATATTCATTCCACCTATATTATAACTGCACCATTAATAACAACTGCATTACAGAAACATAATATGGAGTAAACAAGACCTTTCAAAATGGGCAAATTGAAAGAGAACCACTGCCAGATCCTGGCAAATTTGAACAGAATGCATGCTCATTTTACATCGAGTAAGCAGTGTTCGTTAACTTTTATCAGGGTTCAGTTGGTCGTGCCCTGCTATAAATCTGAAACAGACTGATCCTACCACACCAATTACAGGATTTGCTTTTGCACAGTTAGAGGAATTTACACCACAGCGTTTACAGTGTTATCTGAGCCCGCAACAAAAGAATAAACTGCATCTTATTAACATTTATCTTATTAACGTTTTGCTACATTTTGAGTTAACTGGATGAGTGGCTTTCTTATGAACATTCTGCACTTACGTGCACAGGAGGTTAAAATCTTTTAAAAGCGGATTTTTCATACTATATATGGTGCTTTGGAAGACAAATTACAGAGCTCTAATAAAGGTAATATGTTGTTTGCTGTATTAACCGCTCGGTTGCTATTTTGAATCTCAAGTAGCCGCTGAATATCTGGCCATTATTCGATGTGCTAGGGAGCGCTGCCATCAACGATAGTGAGCAGAGGACCAAGCCCTCGATGTTCTCGGTTGATAAATGCCTGTGTCACAACTGCCTTTACCACAGTTGGCATCAGATATTTCTATTGTGGACAGTTTCAACAGAAGCCAAGTTTTGAGCGCGCACGAAGTCTGATTATGCTACCACGCAATTCAGCTGTAAAACTGAAGTCGGTAGCAACAACAGAGGACTGGTTCTCTGGATGATGAATGAGTTTCCTGCCAGGTCTGTTGGCAGAGTAATGGGGAGACTTCACAGAGAACTAACTTTGATAAATTCCTTTCCTCAAAACCAAATCATTCTTTTAGATAGCAGCTACATCTATTCAAAGAAATCTATAATGCTTCTAAATGCATAAGAAAGGGGGAACAAAAACACAGGCTGGGCAGTGTTCTTGTTTCACTTCTGTGAAAGTTATTCTGCACAGTTAATAATAGCCCAAGAATTCCAGTCAGACCTGGGAGAAAAAAATGTATCAGAAACTAGCCTAAATGAAAGGAAATAAGCGGCACCTCCGTTTTTATTTAATCTGTTTAACGTGAGACAGAAGTTTAAAGTAATAACCCTTGCAGAGTTCTAAATCTTACCATATCAACTTGTTTTACTTGTTTATATTCAACCTCATCTCTGTATCCAGCTTGCTGAAATCTGTATAAGTTCTCTACATCATCTGACCATTTTTTGGCATGATATATAGATTTTGGTTTGATGTCAGCTTTAGCCATGACTCCAGAAACTTCAGACTTTTTCCTGAAATTAGATTTTTAAAAAATAAATAGAAAAGAGAGAAGCAAGGAATTGTGTTAGGGACATATATAAATGGGTAGAACAAAATTTAAAAATAAAGGAATTACAGACAGTACAATATTATCCTCCCCTCAAAGTCTGAGGTTAAAAGAAAAATGTTATCAGCAGTTGGAATCAAATTAAATGCGCTACTTGGTCTCAAACAAACCCAACTCATCCATACTTCTATATACACCTCTATATCTTGATTTCATCTACCTGAAATTTATTTGTGCATATTGATGTATTAAAAAATATATAATACAGTCATTTTTTTAATTTCACGTCTTTGCAGTTGCTATCCTTTTGGAGCAGGCAGTTTTTCATGTGTTTCTTTCTTCCTACTGAAGGGATACCAAACTGGGAAGCACAAAAGGAAGAGCTGGGCTGTTACTGAAGAACAGCAAACACTCAGGGTGGGAGAGGAGGGGAAAGGAGAAATGCACTGCCAGTCACATGGCCACAGTGGAGATGACAAAGAAGAGGTCTTAAGAAATAAATTGGACAAGAAGGCAAGGCAGACAACCTACCAAAATCCATCCTATTCTACCCTTGCCACATCAAAATCTGCGCTGACTGCCACTGGCTTCCTCCTCACACAAAACCCATTTGTTCAATCTGCTGAGATATAGTAAATAGGTTAATCAACTGCTAAACCTGAGCAGAGCAGAACTGGGAGAAGATGAAACACAACTGGAGAAAAAAAAAGTATAAAATAAGCAATAAAAAAAAACCTTGTGGAGTCGGTAGAAACTCACCAGGGATGGATTTTAACTATATTTCAAAAAAATATGAATCATTTGACTTCTACCTTATATCTGAATTTCACTGCATTTGCTTTCTTGAGTGTATCTTATTCTGTTACTAAAATAGAAGTTTATGCTGCTTCTGCAAGCAAAACACACAGAACACTATCATGCCTAGCAGATACGATCAGAAATCAGTCCTTTCCTAGTTTTGTAATGTCACCAAGCTTCAGCTTCATAATTAGGAAGGTATCTTCAAAGAAGGAGAAAAAGCTGCTGGATTTTGTAGTGAGAGGATGAACACAGTCTCACTCCCTGCGGGTAGTATGCTGCCTCCAAATCCTGCACACAGAGCAAAATTTCCTTACTTAGCAAGTTCCTATATCAACCCAGAGCTTGAAAAGTTGATGTCTTATCAAAGGCACAAATGGCCTTAAGTCTGTTAGAAAGGCAGAAAAGGAGAAAAAAAAAAATCACACCACAGCATACAAATCTTTGGGAAAATGATATCAGGAATTATTGTTATCATAATGTGGAAATAGCAGAAGTCTGCATTTCTAACTGTATGAGAGCCATTAGCACACAAAGAAAGGGACTTTCATCTCTTACTGCACACAGTTTATTAAAGATCAATAAAAATTTGCACAAGGGCTCTCTTCTGGCACAGTTCAGCAGTCCAAACATTCTTTTACCAGGCTCTGCAGCGTTTTGCAATTGAAGGCAGCCATTTGATAAAAAAAAAAAAAGGTGATTTTCCCAACCAGTTATGAGGTGTCACATACAAATTAACATGCTAAGCGTATATCTTTATTATAAATCTTTAGTGTAGTCTTTGAGATACCTATCTCAACATAATTTTTTTCTCCTTTGCTGCAAAGGGCCCTTTTGTAGCCATTACTGGATTTTTCATACACTGTATGTTCACCCATGTTTGATGAGAACTGTTGTCAATTTGGGACTTTAGACAGCCAATATTATTAGCAATAACATTAGATCTTAATCAATGCTAAACTACAATGAATTTAAGTGTCTTATGATAACTTACATGTTACTAGTGTTAAGTGCTTCTTTATAGGATGTACTGAATTCATCTAATGAATGTGCTTCTTCAAGACACCTAGAGATGCATGGCACTTCCTGAGTCACCATTAATTCAGATGGCCACAGGCGTTCCTGCTCAAAAAATATATATAAAGGTCACATATTTAAAGAGCCAGCTTGGTGCCTTCACATAATAAAAGCACCATCCTGATATTTTTAGGCTGTTATTTAAGCCCTTTAAAAATCGTACTCTGTCTATTGTAGTGCCTCTGAGTTCCAGGCATAGACCTGGCTTCATTGTACAAGTGCACCGAGATGAGCTGTACTCAGACAGCCTACAAGTCGGGGAAAAGACAAAAGACAGCAGACAGATATAGGCAAATGAAATGGTAAGAATGGTAAGAAAATATTCAGCATAGCACTGACACTTGTTATTTAAAGGGAACTGCTGAACAGTGAAGTGGACTTTGCTAAGACGACAATGTTTGCCTACTCTTAGTTTAGGGGAAATAGTGAGATTTCACATACCTCTGTTTTGGCTTTGGGAAAACAGTTTTTAATGTCAATCACAGCACAATTTCTGTGGAATCCTAACTAGTCTGGGCTTCCTTAATGCTTATACAAGTTGTAAAGGCATGTGGAAGGAGAGTGTCTGCTCCTTTAAGGGTATCTGGTCAAGGACCTTTTTCAGTGCAACAAAGGATAATAAGAAAGGGAGGAAGCCATAAAACAAGAGCATATGGGCACACAAACCTGACCAGCAAGTGATAAGGGAGGCAGTGATGAGAACCAAACCTGGTCAGTCACACTAATTAATGAGGGCACGTGGGAGTGTGAGAATGCTTATTTCAGCAAGGTTATCTGATCTATCTGATCTGGGACCTTGTCAGTTGGGAAACTAAGGGAAAAAGCGAAAACCAGAAACAAAATATACAGACACAGACCTGACAAAACAAACCTAGAGACCATGACAAGAAACAAACCTCGCCACTTACACTAATTGATGGGCTATTAAGAAACTACAGGCGCCACTTCCAGGAAGATCGACCTGGACTTTGCAACTGGTAAGACTGGAAACCAGGGGGAGCCCAGACTGGAGGGGTGCGGGAGTCGGTAGAGCTGTACAGACCCGTGAGGGATGTGCAGGGGAAGGGGAGCAGGGAACAACAAAGACAGAAATAGACAGAAAGGAGTATAAAAGAGGACAGTCGTGTGTGAAACAGGGCTAGTCACTATGCTTGCTTGGCTGAGCCCTGTGCCTGATCACATTCTGTCCTACCTTCTTATATCTACTTATTAAATCTTAACTATCTCTCTGTGTTATCTCACTTTCTAACCTGTGTGTACACGTGCTGCAAGGACCAAGTGCTAGCTACTGGTGAGACCTCTGTATGTAAGAGAAAACTGGTGCCAGCTCCTGGAGCCAGACCGGGAATATGGGTGCCCTGCAGCCTGTGGTGTCAGCTGCTGGAGCGAGTGGGGGTCCCAGCATCAGTAGCTGGAGGGGTTGTAGTTCTCTGGATCTGGGGAGGGTCCTACAGGCTTTGCGCCCGGAGTGTCAGCTACTGCGAGGACTGGCGTGAGTGGATTTGGTGCCAGCTACTGGAGTCAGACCAGGGGTGTGGGCACCCCTGGCCTGTGGCGTCAGCTATGAGACTAGCTGGCAAGTAGGGGGACCTTGGGTCCAGGCCAGGGTATCAAGTAGGCAGGGGGTCCACGCTGGTATGCTTAAGGGGACTTGTGAATGTGGACTACATGAGGGACGACTCTGTGAACGCATGCTTGCTGGTGAGCACCAGCTGGACTTGTGAGCAAGTAGTGGAACCATGAAGCAGGTAAGGGGGCCTGGGATCCGTGCAGGTGTGCTGGGCAGGCAGAGGGGCCATGCTGGTACTCAAGGGATCTGCAAACGTGCGTGTGCTTGTGAACCTAGGGAGTGGTGCGTGCGTGCCTGCCCTAGTGAACTTTTGTCACTACCAGCCAAAGAAGAAGAAAGGGACTTGTCTGTGTTTATGTTTTATGTGAGTCCCGTATGTAGGTGCTGTTGGAGGTAACACCTCATCTGTGGCAGCCTGCGTGACCAGCCCTGCCTGTAATACATGCTCAGCTTGGCTACTGGTTGAGCCTGCAAACGGGAAAGCAGCAGCGGCATCCCTCAGCCTGGGCAGAGGCCCCAGGTCCCTGGGGAGGAGAGGTTCTGGGCCACATGGCCACGCTTCTTAGACCACTTAACACGAGTCGACACTTGCTATTTGGGGTCCTAGAAGAGTCAGTAAGAGATTTCCAATGACTCCAACAGACTTTACATGAGAGCTGCTTGTATTTGCCACGGTGTTCAGGCAGACATCTGGGCACCGGCCTGAGTCACCGCTGTAACCCCACCCTGCCCGCACCGCCATAGCCGCAACCCGGCTGCCCAGCCCTCAGACGACCCACCTCGGTGCGAGGGCCGCCAAGGGGTGCCTCTCCCAAGGCGGGCGGCGACGGAGCTGCAGCGCGAAGGCGACCGCTCCTCACAGCGCTCCTCAAAACCCCAACGGTCGCCGCCGACCGGCGTTGCCAGGCAACCGCTCTCCGGTGCCGCTTTAAGGCGCCG